CTCTCAAGAGACTTGGTCAATGATCTTCTCTTTATTGTCGCTTCTACACTGTCTACAGAACATTGCATACATTTGTGTTGAGAAATAATGTAGGCTAATTGAATGGCTGGGCCATTATCTCTGGTTAGTTCATACATATCCACTGTAGCTTTGAAGTTTGATCAATAGGGCATAAAACAGACCATGAAAGTGACAGGGTTTGAAGCACTGAAAATATCACTTAGGAGTCTCGTTTTCTTGATAATATCTGAAATGACAGTGTTTTTTTTTGTCATCATGCTCTCTATTTGAAGTGATGGAGAGTCAACAGCCAGATTTATTCATTAACACTGATTATTAACAAACCAACTGTAAGCTTATACTAGTGGGCATTATTACCAGACGTTATTGTTGTTGTGATAAATCACATCATCGTATGCTTTTCTGAGCATATCCTGGATTTTGCCAGTACCTAATGAACACTGACCGACTGTATGTTTTATCAAAGAGAGCCTAATTAGTGGTGCATTGTGTCTGTTGTGTACTGATCAAACCCCATAAAAACAAAATATTCTGATTCATATTGTGAAAATGTGTTAAAATATCGTGATATTCTATTTTTGCCATATTGCCCATCCCTATACTATAAACATGCAAAGTAAAAAATTAGACCATGACAAATTCAGTGCTCATCAATCATAGCACAAATCCTCAGGGCAGCATTTAGCAGTTTCCCCTTTTGGTAAATGCATATATACATCAAATTATGTATGTGATGCAATATACATCAAAAAGCAAATTACTGATCAATTGTTGAAAAGCTCACAGTGGTTCATCTGACAGTTTATGAATTAAAGCATTTATTTCTCAGTTAAATTTTCCACTAATGACAATCTGTGATCTTCAATGACATTGAGGCAATGAGTGACTGAGAGATTACAGTCCAATATCAGATGCCATGATAAACATATGAACTTGATAAGCATGCTTAAAGAGAGACATGCTTGGTCTCTCTTTACTGCAGAGATAACATGATACAACCTTTTTTCTTTTCCAATACTAATACCAACACGGAAACCTTCAGCATTAGCTGATGCCAATCCAATACTTAGTTTTAAAAACTACTAAGGTTTAAAATGCATCTAAAAGCATCTAAAAGTAGGCTATCATGCTCAGTGAAGGACATGGTGAGGAGATAACTGTCCTCCTTAACATGTATGTTAATTCTCCCAAAACCACAATGTTCAACAAAGGAATGTATGGATTTAATGTAAAGACTACTCAATATTAGATCACACTGGTTCTGGATCTTGTTCGTGTGTTTATCAGCTGGACATGTGCTATACTTCTGTATGAGAGCTATAGTTACAATCCTGTTAAGAAAAGTCCACTTTTACAGTAGAATTGACAAAATATTGACTCTGGGCCTCATTATAAGGACACTCATTTTAAAGTACATGGATAAAAACATCTGACCATGGTGAGCTACATCAGCACTGTACCGCAGTTTCATTGCCTTGCTTTCACTGGTGATTGAACAAAATCAACCCCAAATGGGGATGTTCACAGTCAATGTCTTCCAGTCTAGCCATCCCCATATCCATGTGCCTCTGTGTGGTTCACCCTGCTCCTTCACGTTGCAGATCTTTCCAAAGATGATAAAATTGCTTCACCGAACTAATGAAACAGACACACGCTTGCTGTCGACATTGGCCACGAAGACCTCTGTGTCGTTTTTGAGAGATTTTTATTTTACTGTTTACATCGTGATTTACGCCTCAGTGAGCTCACATAAGAGGGCTTCGTCTTTGATTGTTAGAAGGACTAAAGCTACAAGCGCACAGCAGAGAGCAAGGCTCTCCTACTGATACATTTCCACAGAACCCAACACAGAAGAGCGCCATGGAAAAAAAAGAGGGGGGTAGAAGAGAACGTTTTTTCCGAGCATTGCTCAGCCGAGCGTGAAGCGTGCTTAATTCGATAGCTGCTACCGAGGAGGAGGCCAGAAGCTCTTTAGCGGAAAGCTTGACCCACTTTTCCTGTCAGATGTCATGAGAAATGCTGCTGCTTCTCCCGCACTAGCGACCGCACGGCACTTCCACCGCAATTAGCAGAAGTGCTAATGGTTAACACACATCAAACGATGATGAACCTGGGTTCAGCCCTGTTAAAACACGAGTCTTGCACTCGTCATCAAATGAGTGAATTTGTGTATGTGTGATTGTGTATGTGTTAAGTGCTTAGTGGGGAGAAATTTCCATTTAATAACATGAAAACTCGAACCTTTTTGTCACTGTGGGGCCATCTAGTACCCACAAGCATTTGTTTTGTAGCTTTTGATTGCTTTTTGGCCTATATTTGAAAAAGTAAAAAGAGATAAAAGATTTCCCTTGTGGTTACTGAGGTTACATTTAGGGTGTAGGCATTATTTAACTGCAATCAAAGGCCTACCACTTAGTTGAAAAAACTCACAAAGATAGGAATACAATTGTCTGTGTGTGTGTGTGTGTGATGCAGATGGAGCGAGCGGGAGAGGCTTGTTAGGTTAAAGAACACGTACCTTCAAAGGTGCCATATGTGGCCATTTTGTTCCCTCTCTGGCCTTATAATAGCAACTCAAAACACAAAACCCTAATCAAGTGTGACAAGGCAGAGGAAGAAACTAAGCTCAGTTTTCAATATAAATATACTTGTTATGTACAGTACTGTGCAAAAGTCAGAGACCATCTTTCATTTCTTTAATTTTCTTTCCAAAACGCCCATAAAAGTAGAAAACATGCCTTTACCTTTATTGCAGCTTCCATACTTTTCAGGAGACTTGTTTTCAGTTTTTCAAAAAAATCTGCAGGGATATTTCTACACACCTCTATAGTTCAGCCTTTGAAGTTGGTTGCATTTTCTTCTTCTCATGATCCATTAATTATGTAATTAAGTAATCTCAAACAAACTGTTAAAATGTTAAGGTCTGGACACTACTGTGACCAGTCCATTGTTCTGAGAACACCATCAGCTTCTTTGTTTGATTTGGAAATTTTCTATTTCTCAATAACAGCTACACATGCTTTCAGACCTATAACGTTGAGGTCCTCACAGTGGATGAAAGGACAGATTTTTGCCCATCTGAAGTAAGATTGGAGCTCTTCTCTTAAAGATGAAAGCTTTACATACTGTTTATCTGACGGTGACAGATTTGGTCTACCAGGTCTTGTGTGGATGTTAGGAAGCCCATTTTCTTTGTATCTTTTAATAATTTTTTAATTCCTGTTTTTTCACTTATCTTAATTTCACTTTTTCCTTATAGCAGTGGATTAACATATATCTTATCTCCTCATAAATATCTCCTGAAAAATGAATACATTGTACATAATAGCCATTTTGAATAATATTAACAATATTAAAATTAACAAAGGGTCTCTGTCTTTTGTGCAGTACTGTATGTATTAGATTAATAATAATTATTATAATTATTATTCATTGATTGAGAAATATCAAAAGTGATTTTTGAAATTCATTCCTTCGCTCTGCTCTATCTCTTAGTGAAAAACTCATCTGTTTTTTCATGGAAATATGCTATCTGTTCTGGACAATTCCACCAGATTGGCTTTTATGCAATTGTATGATATTAATCTCTTTACAATTAATGGGGGTATTCCTTTGAGTCTATCGCAAATGTTTTACTCTTAAGAAAATCTCATAAAAATGTTTGCTTTTATGCCTTTGGCACCCAAAGGTATTTTGGTAGTGCATCTGTCAAACATTCCTTCCTCATTTGGGTTTATATAATTGCATTTTTTCTTCTCTTTTTTGTCTACTTACACTTGCAAGTTTGGCATTGATCATGGTTGCTTTCTGTAGGCTAGATTATTTTTGCTCTCTGGCAGCACCACTCTCCAACCCCTGGATGCCGCCAGTAATCTGGATTAAAGCCTTTATGTAATCTGGCATACTGTGGGAGATTGTAGGACATCTGGCTGCAGACCTCCATTCCTCCCTAATCGTCCCAGCTTCTTTAGTTCCCTCTGGTCTGCTAGGTGCTGAATTGAAAGCATTCAAGTGATAAGGAACTTTTCATCACTGCAAGAGACTAATAGAAGGTGAAGCATAAGGTGTTTTCACAATTAATTAGTATTTCTCCAGCAGTTGCAAGGTTGTAATTGTAAAAAACATTCTACTGCCTGTGTTATCACTGAATATTTGCACATTTGTTGTACAGATGGACAGTCAGTTACAAAATGTAGAGTGTTATGCTATGGCTTTTTGTACTGTCATCTTTAGCCATTGACCACTGGCCACAATCACACAACTGTGGAATGAGTGGTAATATTCTCACTATTGTACATGATCTTGAGCTCCCTCCTGTGGTTCAAATCTGTAGACCTGCTTTTCCTTCTCTTTTTCTATCATACTTCTATTGAATTACCTTTTATCATCTTTTTTGTTTGTTTAGAAGCCTTTAGAAGCCACAGTCATTGCCTGCAATAAAAAGCATGTTGTAGTTTTACATGAATTATTTCATAGCTCATAGCAGAGAAATTCTGTTTGAAGTGTGAATTCTGATCAGTTAATAAATGAAAAAGAGATTTTATTCTTATTTGAATTCAATGAACAGTTTTGTGCATATAATCTTGTTTCATCCATTGTGGAAAGAAAAACTTGGGGATGAACAGTGTAAACTGAATGTAAATGAATTAAATGCACAAGTTGCTATATAATTTAAATACCTTATATTTGAATGGTAAAAACTTTCAGCAACAATTTCTATGAGTGAAAAGAAATACATCAAGAGGTTAATTTAACTTATTTGTAAGTTTGTTTTATTCCTTAAACTACACCAGCCTTCACAAAGCTTTTAGAAAAACACAACCCAAAGCCCAACGTTTTAGAAAATACTTTGTATTATATTAAGATAATAGCTTTTTTACTGGTATTGTACTTCTTCACAGGTGTTGGACTGGTAGCTCCTCTACTCCTAAACTCTCCCGAAGGTTAACAGATCTAGTCCCTGTATCTTCACACCAGCCATGGAGCCTACCAAAGTCCAGTCTGAGGGGGGGCTCAATGTCACTCTCACCATCAGACTGCTCATGCATGGCAAGGTAACAGATATCTACATATATATTATGAATGCAAAATACACACACACACACACACACACACATCATCTAAACCGCTTGTCCTTCTGGGTTGCGGTGGGAGCTGGAGCCTATCCTGGCTGTCATTGGGCGGAAGGCTGAATGCAAAATAAAAGTGGTAAATTGTGAATTTCTTACATGCAGTAGTACAATCATCCTTAACGCAGAATCATCTGTTTGCTTTCTAGGAGGTTGGTAGCATAATTGGAAAGGTAAGAAAATCGTCTGCAAACAAATTACATATGTATAGTTTGAACCCCTTGGTCAAATATATGATTTGTTGATTTGTTGATAATTTAACACTTCCTCTACATCTTAAATATGACATTTTTCTGCTATGTCATTATGCTATTTTTTTTTTCTGCTATTTTTGTGCACAAATTCAATTTATTTGCATAGTTTAACATATTAGAAAATAAAACATATACTATAAAACTTTTGCACATGCCATATTTTAGTTTTTTTTTCCCACAGTATCTTAATTTAAGCAAATAAACAGTAATAGTACCTTAAAATGTGCAGAAATGTGTTCTCTGTAGAGGATGTGTTAACTTATTTTCACTTAGAAAATCAACTAAACACGTAATCTGACCAGGGTGCTCAAACTTTTGCATACAGCTGAGTATATATATGGTTATATTTTTTACATACATATTCAACTGTTTGTCTTCCACAAACATAATTTGCTTCTTTTCAGAAAGGGGAAACAGTCAAAAAAATGCGTGAGGAGGTAGGTGTGGTTGGTAGTTTTGACATCCTTTTGGTTAAGTCCCTTTGGTCTCTTGTACACATAGCTAATGTGTTAGTTACTGTATTATCTGTCCTCGGTTTACAGAGTAGTGCTCGTATAAACATTTCAGAAGGAAACTGCCCAGAGAGGATAGTCACCATCACAGGCCCTACAGATGCCATATTCAAGGCTTTTGCCATGATTGCGTACAAGTTTGAAGAGGTATCTTCAGAGTCAAAGTCATGTTGATAAAATGCTACCATCCCTAAACATTATTTTACATTAAAGTACACTAAAATTGAGTCTTTTGTGTTCTCTCAGGATATCATCAACTCCATGAGCAACAGCCAGGCTACCAGTAAGCCTCCAGTGACCCTGCGTTTGGTGGTACCAGCCAGCCAGTGTGGTTCTCTGATTGGGAAGGGTGGCTCTAAGATCAAGGAGATGAGGGAGGTAAGACATCCTCCAATGATCACAGCTGGGGATTAGCTAACATTAGTGGGGACTTGGGGTCAGAACGTCTCCCAAACTACAATGAAACACCACCTACATAACTATAAGTTGTTTGGAAGCGTTGCCAGAAAAAACCTCTGTTGTTAAGAACTAACTAAATCAAGTGCCTACAGTTTGCCAGATGTTACTGCAACGTTCAGTGGGAGCGTGTTCTGTGGTCAGATCAGAACAAAATACAGCTTTTTGGCAATTTTTGGTGTAGCACAAAGATAGCCATGCAGAAAATTACTTCATTCCTACCGTGAAGAGTGATGGATGTGTGATGTTGTGGGGCTCTTCCAAAGGCCCTGAAAAACTTGTTCAGATTCATGGCAACATGGTCTCCATCAAGCACTAGCAGATATTGCATCAAAACCTGACTGCCTCAGGCAGGAATTTAAACTGGGCCATGGTTAGATCTTACAAAAGGATGATGATTCAAAGCACACCACAAAATCATTACAAAAATTGCTCACTGACCACAGAATCAATGTTTTGCCATGACCATCCCAGTCCCCTGACCTGAGCCCCATAGAAAATATGTGGGATGAGCTGAAAAGATAGGTCCACAAGCATGGACCTCAGAATATGAAGGCACAAAGTACTAAATGAAGGCGTGCCAACAATTGTGGAAAAATATTTGAGAAAAATATTTCATTATGAAAAGTTTTAGTTTTTTTTGTTCAATAATTGTACTTCAAATAAAGGTTAGATTTTTGTCAATGTTTTGAATGAAAGCTCAAAAAGATAAGCAATAAGTACTGTATTTTACCAGGGGTGCCAGTATTTGTGGAGGGCACTGTATTACACTTATCAAGAGTATTTTTTCATTGTTAGTTTTAGAAATTGTTTGATTAGCAGTCATAACCCTGCCTAGAACTGCATGTTCAAGTCAAGAACCATGCAGGAACCTATATTCATAAGAGTGTACTGTGAAAACTACTGAATTAATAGAGTCCACTCTATTTAAACCAAACCATAAACTTAAATATTCCATTAATCAATTTTCTTGTCATATTTGTATATCAGAGACCCCAAATAAAGCTTTGTGCTGCTGTGTACATGTTCTTTCTTACCCTTCTAAAGGTGCCTCATCTATTTTTTTTCAGTCTACAGGAGCTCAGGTGCAGGTAGCAGGGGATATGCTGCCCAACTCCACCGAGCGGGCCGTCACCATCTCGGGTACTCCGGACGCCATTATCCAGTGTGTGAAGCAGATCTGTGTGGTGATGCTGGAGGTAAGGGAGAGGATCACATAAGGATCACATGATGCATTTCAAAGTTATGCAATGCTCTTAGCACTTCACTTTAGGGTTATTTGTTTTGCTATGACTCAGAATAAAAAAGAGTACACTTGTGCCTTTCAGGCTCTTCTTATGTCATTGTGTATAAAACACAACATATGCAACAGAGATGCTGCTCATCTTTGGCCTCCAAGTCTGCTGACTATTCCTATTCTTATCTCTCTGTCTGAAGTTATCTTGAACCATTTCTTTTTTTTCCCCTCCGACTTCTCTTCCACTTGTTTTACCATTTGATTCTCTGCCATTTCCATTTGTCCTTATCTTTCCTTACTTCCTTCTCCTTCCTTCTTGACGTGCCAGTCCCCACCCAAAGGTGCTACGATCCCATACCGACCCAAGCCTGCCTCTGCTCCAGTGATTTTCTCAGGGGCACAAGTGAGAGCGGACCCATTGGCAGCCCCCTCAACAGCCAACCTCAGCCTGCTGCTACAGCACCAGCCTCTGCCTGTGAGCACTTAATGTATTTATGTTTACACACTCACTAACACACGAGAGTGGGTCACAACTTGGGCTAAACAAGGGCTAAAACATAATGTGGATGTTTTATGTATTTTAACAGGTTCATGTAAAACATGCTTTTACTTGAATGTTCTCAAGAGAATCTCTGATAAAGTGTGGGAATGGGATCCAAATGTATGGCCACAACTCTTTTCCACGCTTTACTAAGTCATGATCACGACTTAACTATTAAAACCAAATATCTTGTTCTCCCGCTTTACTAAGTTGTTTCCACAACTTAATTGTGTCATGACCATGACTTAGTAAGTCATGGCTACAAGTTAACTATCAACGATGAACTATTGTCTCATTCCCATGCCTTACTAAGTCATGTCCATGAATGAACTACCTTGTCCCCATGCCTTACTAAGCTGTGGTCATGACTTAACTGTCATCTATTAACTATTATCTCGCTTCCATGCCTTACCAAGTGGTGGCCTCTGGGATAACTATCAAAACTTTATTATCTCATATCCACACCTTACTAAGCTGTGGTCATGACTTAACTATCTTGTTCTTATGCCATAGTAAGTCTTTGTCATGCATTAAGATCCTATTCCCACACCTTAGTAAGCTGTGACCATTTTTAGTAGGAAGGAATGTCAGTGGGGATCCCATAGTGACTCGCTCTCCCCTACAACAAAACAGTGTCTGATGGTAATATAGAATTTAGAACTAAAACATCAGCCCACTCAGTGGTGTAATTACTGGGGGAAGCGAAGGGCAAGCACACTGGGAATCATGTCTTTACCATTGAAATCTTAATTGGGCCTCTTATATAGATAATGACACAATTGTACACCCATGACTCACAAAAAGATCCAACTTCTTACCAACATACCTCACCTGTTAGATTCCATCAACACTACACAGACAACACTGATGTCTATCTCTCTCTTATATATAACATATAATGCATCGCATCCATAGTAACCGTTTTCAAATAGATCCTTCACAACCTGCAACATGATATATTCACTATTTATAATCCTAAAATCTTAAAGGATAAAACTATTGGGCATGGTAACTAAATAAGAAAAATGATTACTGTGATCCAAATAGTCTAAGATAAACATTTAGGTTTTTATTTAGTCTAATGTTGGATGCTAGTGGGTAGAGTAGCATGCCTTGAGAGCATCAGCTTGTTTGAGACATAACAATAGCAAATAAACAAGCAGACTGCATTGTTATTTATTATTATTAATTTTCGTATTGTGGTGGGGTGGGGGGGCATTAATTTTTTGCACCAGGGCCCAGAAGATTGTAGTTTTGCAGGTGAGCCCATACAAAAAAGGCTGATGGTATCGCATTGATGTCATTTGATGTATTAATGTTCAAATCAGGTCTGACACCCAAGAAAACATTTTTCTTGCTGTTTTTTTTGTGTCTATGTATATGTGTCTATATCATTCTCGTTCTCTGTCTCTCTCTTCTAGACCTACACCATTCAGGGACAGTATGCCATCCCTCATCCTGATGTGAGTAGAAAGACCCCTTTTATCTTTCTCTTCATCTCTGTTCAGTCTTCTAACTACCTTTGCTTCTTCTTTTTATCTCCCTATAATATTATTTGCGTTATTAATAGCTTATTCCTTAACAACGTAACCTGAATTCACGACTAGTCTAATTAAAATTCAGCTCTTTCTTCCTGTGTTTATAAATCCCCCTTAATAGTCTTGTATCAGCTTACATGTTTAGATGAGTTTATGGAGGTTCTAAGCAGGACTCCTGTGTTGTGACGATAACCTCTTAGTTGTACTGTCCCTCCTCCCTTCCCCAGCAGTTGACCAAGCTCCATCAGCTGGCTATGCAGCAAACCCCCTTTACCTCCCTTGGGCAGACCACCCCCGCTTTCCCTGGTACGTACCCGTCCACCCCACCCGCTGCACATCCTTCACTCTGTACCCATAGTGCTTCTTTTACTCTTTTCTTTCATTCTTTTCCCTTTGAGAGTTAGGTCAACTTAGTGAAGACTTCACATAAATTACTGAATCCTAATCATTAGTTAGCACAGCAATTCCTACACAGGTACACTGGTAACAGTCATCCAGCTATGACAACATACTAAAGGACTGCTTGTAACATCCTTTAGAAAATAAAGTACATCCTCTAGAACTGTATATCCATTTCTCATAAAAACAACATCCAAATGGAAAAGGCTTGTCATGCTATGAGTCGGTTGTGATGATAGATTGGACCCATGGGAGCTGACAGCTCTAAAAAAGCATAACCCCCATGTCTTCTTTCTACCTGTCTGTTTCTCCATCCTTTCACTGTTCTACAGGTGTGGATGCCAGTTCACAGGCCAGTACTCATGAGCTCACCATTCCAAATGATGTGAGTGCTGACTTTATTTATCTACCTGAGAGCAAACAGCTGAAGATTCACGGTAGGGGTGGGTCATACGACAAGAACATTATATCACAATACTTCAGGACATATTTATAATATATGATATGCATCATGATATTTAGTTTTTCTGAGTTTTAATACATTTGAACAGATAAATATTATATAATAATTATAATAATACAGTAATACTTTTTCCTTTTATTATCATATTTTTATTTAATGTTTTACAAACTGCACTGCACTAAATCCAATTAAAGAGGCCTATTTGTGCTCACTTTGTAATGAAACATGCAGTTAGTCAGTGTTCTTTAAGTACTGATGATATTCACAATATGCTCAGAAAAGGGTATTGTGACATAATTCATCATAATGATAAACAAATATCGTCATATTGCCCACCCCTAAGTCACAGTTATTGCCAAAAAAATACATTTTCCATCGCCATATCAGCCAGTTTGTTTCTGTACTGCAGTCTTTCTAGCATTAGTAAAGCTAAAGCAGTTTAGCTTTTTCCCCTTAAAATGCATCATCTACTTAACCTGTGCTATCTTTTTCCAGCTAATAGGCTGCATAATTGGGCGCCAGGGCACAAAAATCAATGAGATTCGTCAGATGTCTGGGGCTCAGATCAAAATCGCTAATGCCATGGAGGGGTCGTCAGACCGTCAGATCACCATCACGGGTACACCTGCCAACATCAGCCTGGCACAGTATCTCATTAATGCCAGGTGAGCGTCATAACCAACTTTGGCATACAGTTAAACAACACATGCATTAACATAATAAAGTATGCTAATAAATCACAGTATTAATAGCCATAAGGCACTTATAGTATGTTATGTTCATCTGCAAACTTTTAAGAGACCACAGTTTTAATACCGGTTTGTCAGCTTGGCCTTGCCACCCCGATGTCATCTTAAGGACCATTACATTACTTTATTAGCTCAAGTGAAGTATGTTAGTTGAGCCCTCAGAGGTGCGAGGGACTGATTCTGGAAACAGAAGTGTTGACTTCAGCAGCAGAACTTGCCCAGAAATCATTGCTATGTGACGCATTTCCCTTTATAAACCCCAAAGCTGTTTATAATTCATAGCAGTACACTACTTTAAAATGCTTAATATTTAAAAACTATAACTTTAGATTTGCTGGGTTTTAGCCTGTAAATTACTCCATCTCTCTTACATGATTGTGAATACAACTTCAGCACTTTAATCTGCTAGCTTTCTAGTTAGCTAGCATGTTAAAAGCTACAACTACAAAAAGAAAGGCATTACATCACAGCTCTGTACTGAATTTTATAGCCAGACAAAGCAATTATTCACAATTTTATGTACATCATCTTAAAACCTCTCAAAAATATGCCGCATTGCAAAGTTTGCACAGCTAGCCGATTAACTCAATGAGGCTAACCTAGGTGAGGGCGAGTGCACTCCTCACTGTCCCTTCCTTTTGCCCTGAGTAGCCACTTGAGGAACGCTGGTTAATGCACATCCAAGTGGTGAGTCGAAGTAGTTGAAGTTATGTTAAAAGCAGTATTGAGATAGTCCTGTGCACTGGAGAGCTAACAGGTTGGGGAACAACCCACTCTTGAACTCACCACCTATTGCTAACTAAATATAACCAATGGATTGAGAAATTGCAAAAATGTAAAGAAAGGAGGCCCCTCTCTTGTGGCTTTATCCTGGTCATGTCACACAAATCAACACGGGGGATTTTGATGTACATTCAACCATCATTTATGCATGGCACGCATTTAACAAGTTTAATCAGGACTATAACATCTCTGTTGTGGGCAGGTTCCGAGATGTGGCAGCCATGTGGACTGACCCTTCTACTATGACGACCTCTTGAAGCCCCCATGCTCTTCTCATCTGAAACTCAACAAAATCATCTTGTTCTTTTGCTTTATTTTTTGGACTTCATAAGCTTCCATACCAATCTCGACAGTTGCTTAGAAGTCTGCTTCTGAGGAAGTTTGAATGGAATTGAAAGAAAATCTTCCATCTGTAAATGATTTCTTTCATTAAAAAAAAGAAATGGACTTGGCATAACGACTGTGCTAGCGTAAGGCCCCAACTACAAGTTATATTAAACCTATCTATGGCTATACAGCCAATTGTTTAGTTCTTATTCTAATGTAATTTACCAAGCAATTGTTGAGTACTTAGGTCATTTGTAATGAATGGTAATGGAATTGTGTCTGTGTAAAAGCATATGTTATATTTTCTTGTCAATTTAACTTTAGTTATATATAGGGTTTTAGCACAGAATCTTAGCATGCTGAATGTCTAGAATCAGTTGTGCTCTTATTTCACTTCTGCTTTTGTTGTGAATACACATACATGCATAAAGTTTATTCAAGCAATCATACATGTGATGCAAGCAATAATTCTCAAACGTGTCTGTTTAAAAGTCTTGGAAGATCCAAAGGTTGTACATTAAGAAGGCATGTTGTTTCTAATATTACATTTTTGCTTAAGGTAATTTGTCTTAAGGTGATCCATGATTGTTTAGTGCAGTATACTTGACTTTTACTACAATCTACATATTGCATCATAATGTATAAATGATAACCTGTCTGGTCAGAGAAGTTCCTGTTTGGAAAGACCTTCAGCAGTCTTCATAGACCATTTCATAAGGTAACCAGAAGATTCTTTCAGCCTTGCTCAACAAGTTGATTGTTTGATTTGCATTGAATCTATTGCTTTATTGTTGTCTACTAGTTTAATGGGTTATGATAGCATATTTGCAATGTACTGAAACTTCATGATAAATGCCATGTTTGTGCATTGTATGCAATAATGTGACTATTTTTTGCTCTTTATGACAGCATGAGAAACATACATTAGTAGAGACATAGATTCTGTTGATGGGTTTTTGTCTTGTAATTCATTAGTAGAGTTTTACTGTTGATTTTGACTATACAGATCTGATTATGAGGGGAGGTTACTGGTAATTGCATTTGAATGTAATGATGTGAACTTTTTAGCAAGTCATTTGCAATGTAGCGGTTTTGTGCTATCCCCAGATTAAGGCTGCCCAAGTGGAGGAAACTACATAACCTTTTCAACATCTGGGCCTTTTAAGTTTATTTTCAGTTTTATTTTCAAATAGGATAGTGATTACTCTTAAATATGACCAGTTATCTTTTTGGAATGTTTATTGTTTATATCAAAGTGGGCTTTGATGAGTTTAAATGTAATTTAAGATGATGCCATGTATGAATTCTGTGTTGTCATTATGTGAATGAAATGAAAATGGAAATTGCTTATATTATTGCACTCTAATTGTTCTTTACAGGAGTTCATTGAGATCATGTGAAAGATGACCAATGTCACCTAACGCTCAATATTTGAGACACATAAAAGAGTCAGAATAATAAACTAATCCCATTAAATATGGAGAGAACAAAAAAGGTGTTAAATAATTACAAACTCCTTTATTTTAGAATCTCATAAAAAATTAGCTTTGGAAATAATTTTCTACGTACGCATTTGCTTTAAAAATATTCAAGCCTTTAGATCACAATGTCTTTATCACAATGAAAAATGCATTAAAATAGGTCTCCAAACGTTTGGTCAGTAGTGTATTTTATAGGTGCAAACAGATCCCCACATGTAATTTAATAGCATTTGAACTGTAATGCATGGTGGGGAATGAGAATAGTTATTTCGAGGGACTCAAAAGATGTGCTACATACTTAGCTACACAACAGGCAATCATAATAGACCTAAAATAAAATAAAATCGGTTTTATATGATATCTTGTAATGTATCAATTTAAATGTACAGCCTCCACAGTAAAATTACCACAGGATAAAATTAGTGTAGTGCAGACCACATAACACTCTCTAAGACATTATTTTACACTGGTAAATGTATGCTGTATGTTACCAAAATTCACAGGGTTTTACTACCCGACCGATAAATTGTTGCACCGTTATTGTCAGCCAACATGAGCGAACTGCAGATAGTCAGATAAATCAGTATCAGCGATAAACTATGCACTAGGTAGTTCTACAATTACAAACTGTAGTTCATCAGTTTCTCTGTTTGTTAGCCTCCTTTCACCCTTTTCTTCAATGGCCAAGACCCTCACAGGCAGAGGTGGATTTAGTCAATCTGGGGCTCTAGGCAAAAGACAGGAATGGTACTATGGAAGGCAAATCCTGCCAAAAAAGAAACTAAAATAAAATAAAATAAAAATGTAAACGCAAACCTCTTTTTGCCATTTCTTTTTCCAAACATCTGTGCAAATATCCTGCCAAAATTGACAATGAAATGAAATACCTACATTTGCAATTTAGTTTTTCACATGAGCATAAATAATTCGTGACAAAAATAAAAATAAATTTAAAACAGCTATTTGTCATGTCTTTATCTGGTGAAACTGAACATCAGACCAAACGGCCTCAGAAAAAACTGTGAAAATGTTATACTGGCATTTATATTGAGACACACAATAGAAAAGTAACTCTCTAGCAGGTGGCGTCGATGTTCGTTTGCATTTGTCTTTTCGTTCTGACACTTTCATTCTGACAGACTTTGGTCTGATGTTCAGTTTCACCAGATAGAGACATGACGGTGGTTATACCATATGGTGGTATATTTTAACATATATTTGCATGTTGGTCAGTTAGAAAACGAAAAAGCAAAGTGTGAAATGAAAAGTAAATCTCCAGCAGGTGGTCTCAATGTTCGTTTGCATTTGCCTTTTCATTCTGACAGTTAAAGCGTGTCCATGCCGAAAACTGAATCACAATTTTCATTTTCATTTTTGTCAGATATGCAGCCTATTGCTATGAAAAAGAAATAAGAACGTAAACATTGCATTTTGATTTTAGTTTTGACACATATTCTGCATTTCATGAAGAAAAGCCAAAGCCAAAGTGAAGCTTGTATTTTCTTTTCTCTATTAGCTTTTTCATTTCAGATATGGTCATGAAAAACCAGAATAACGACTAAAATGAAATGACAAATAGCTGTTATTTTTGTTAAAAAATTATTCGTGCTTATGTGAAAAATGAAATTGCAAATGTATGTATTTCATTTCATTTTCAATTTTGGCAGGATATTTGCACAGATGTTTGGAAAAAGAAATGGCAAAAAGAGGTTTGCATTTACATTTTACTGTTTTTCATTTTAATTTCTTTTTTGGCTGGATTTGCCTTCCATACCATTTAAGGTGGAACAGGACAATTCGAGCGAGAAGCTGGAGAATGAGAAGCGACTTCAGCCTTGTAAAAAGTCGAACACTGAGAGACATTTTACAAGAAACTCGCGGAAAAGTTTCCTGAGGTGCGAGGAAAGCGGCTATAGCTGAGCTAAAGGATAAGCAGAACAAAGTAAGTCTGTGTTTTCGTTTATTAAATTTTTAGCCTGAAATAGCACATCAGCACAAACTGAGACATATTTACAGCTAAGACGGTAAAACGGATATAAAATGTTGTGCCTCCCAAGGTGGTTTCATTTTTGTTGCAATGTCTCTTCTTAACATTTGGGATGCGACTCCTGAGTTAAGCCTACTAGTAAGGGGTGATCAGCGCGTGGGGAGAGCGCGTGCCCGTTTGCTCGAACTGTCCCCGGCTCAGTCAGGATTGCACAGTCATCACCAGCCGAGATAACAACCGTGTTCTATGGTTCAGATTTTGTGCGGATTGCCTGAAGTCTGTAGCGAAATTGTAGCGAAAATTATCGCTATAGCTATACAAAAATTTGTAGGCGCTACAGCT